GGTATGTATTAACTCCTTTTGTCCATTCTTCTCCTGCCCTAGCGCCTTTGCACACGATGTTCTGGCTCAGCCTTTCCTCACCTATCCATATGGCTCCCTCTCTCGCTTCATTTCTGAACTCAAATGTTACCATTTGAGTTGTGGCCATTTCTAACCACATATAAAAACAGGCCTCTCATATTATCTTCTTATCTTGCTTTAAGCCCATTCTCAATGGGCCTGAAAATCATTTATTAGTCCTAAGTGTCTCTTAGATGTAGGGCAAATTTTCATTTTCATTTCAAGTCTCTACAATATAATCTTTTTTTTTTCAGATAGATTTTGACACTTTGCAATAAAGTACTTAAGAATGGCTAATAAGTACATGAAAAGAGTTCCAGGGTCACTAGTCATCAGAAAAAGTTCAAAAGACTGATATTCCTAATCATTGTCAGAAGCGTAGATCAACTGGATCCTCAGACACTGCTGATGAGAGGGCAAAACGGCGTAATACTTGTGGAAAACCGCTTTGACAGTTTCTTACACAACGTTTGTACTTAACCACGTAATCCAGACATCTTGCTCCTAGGTATTTACCTAAGAGAATCGAAAATGTGCATACATATCAGGACTTTTATGAGAATGTTCATAGCAGCATTTTTCATAATAACCGAAACTGTTAGCAACCCAAATGACTATCAAATGATGAATAAGTAAAATGTGTTTATACGCGTATATACAATGGAACACTACTCAAAAAAGAATGAATAAATGAATCTTCAGAAACATCCTGCTGAGTGAGAGAAGCCAGACTCAGAAGGTATACCACTGATTCCTGTACCTCACATTCTGAGATCTGAGGAGTAGTTTTCTGGGATCAGAATGGGGAGAGAGGATTGACATAGGGAACTTTTGAGGAGGACGGCAGTATCTCGAGTGGAGTGGTAGTTACACAACTGTATATAAATTGCTAGAACTCACTGAACATACACTGAAGATGAGTGATTTGTATAAAATGCAAATTACACCTCCATAAAGCTACAGAAATGTGTATATGTTTAGAAAATGATTCTGTGTACAGTTCTTGTGGTAGGAATTAGGTGCTTTTAATTTTCTTGTTTTGCTTATCTACGCTTTACAAAAATTTCCACAAGGATTATGTAGTGCTTTTGTAGAGAAAGGAGAAAACTCAACAATAACTGGATTATTCAACAAGAAATCTATCTTGCTTCAACATTGTTTGCTTGTTCCAAAGCCCGTTTGGTCACCTCTCTCATTTATCTTTCTTTGGTGGCACTTCTGAGGGGTGAGCTGAGGAAACGGATGCAGAAAGGTACAGAGCTTAATAGCCAGGCTTTGTACCCCCAGCCTTGGGCTTGGCTTTCACCCGGATGTGGAATGAATGCTCAGTGGATTAATGCTAGAGGGGCTCTAATCGTCCTAGCCAGCTCTGCCCTCCATTCCAGCTCAAGTCAGCTCACGCATCCTCCAGGCCCCAAGAGAAAGTCCGCGCCCATGGCCAGGCAGATTGTGGTTTGTGGCCCAGGGCGGGCATCCATCTCCAGCTCACACTGGTCAGTTGGGTGCGCGTGGTCTTGGGAAGTCAAGAGCCTATTCATCAGTGGAGACCCAAGAGGAGAAGGACACCACAGGACACGGCGTCCCTCCAAGAGCCCCTCTGGGTGGGGGCACTCAGTGTCAACAGGCCTCTGGCCCATCACACATTCAGTTCATATCCTGACTTTCTGCATGTGAAAGGGCAGTCACCTCAGGAGAACCAACAATGCCAAGGGCAGAGGATGGCTTGTGGGGAGAGGTCCACACAGCTGGCCCTTGAGTGTCGTGGTTATACAAATCTCCCAACAGGGCTCAGGTGTCAGAACACAGGAATCCAGTGGGGACAACAAGCTATCGTTATAAAAACAGCTCCTAAAAATATCCCATGGGCAGAACATGCTATGTTTCAACCGTTCTCAGGGAGGAAAACCTGGAGGAGGGAACCTTACAGCATTTAGGGTGGGAGGTGCCAGGGGAGTTACAGATAACATCTGTCCGCTGAGCCTCTGCTTTGTCTCCCATAAGTGTCCAGATGGGAGAGATCTTGGGGTTTCTGTCTTCACATGGGCACTATTTTCAGGAACTACTTTCATTATCTAAAAACTCCACATATTACTTGTGATAGCCAAAAGGTGGAAACAAGCAAGAATCCGCTGATGGACACACAATGAAATATTACGTAGCCTTATGAAAGCATATTCTGAGACATGTACAACATGAATGAATCATGAAGACATTATACTAAGTGAAAGAACAGTCACAGAAAGATAAACACTGTATGGTTTTGCTTGTATGAGGTACCTAGAGCACTCGGATTCAGACAGAAAGTAGAATGGTGCTTGGACAGGAATGGGGACTTACTGTTCAATGAGTATCGATTACTGTTTGGGATGATTTAAAAAAGTGCTGGAACTGGACAGAGGTAACAGTTAAATGTCAATGTGTTTAATGCTACTGAACTGTGCACTTAAAAATGGTTAAAATGGTGGATTTTAGGTTGTGTATACTTCATCACATACCCGAGAAACAGACAAACTCCCCATTTACCCAGAAGGCCTCACTGCTTCAGGAAAACATCAACTTGTGCATGTTACCATTCATATCAAGTCTCCCAGGCAGGTATAGCCTCCAGTTGTTTTGGTTTTTTATTTTATTTTGTTTGTCAGAGTCTCTTATGTAGTGTAGGCTGGACTACTTTAGTCTACAGTCTACTTGTAGACTATTCTGGCCTTCAACTCAAGATCCTCCTACCTCTGTCTCCCAAGTACTGAGATTATAAGTATGCTTCACTACACCCAGCCTTTAATTTTTTTTTAAGAAATAAAAATAATAGCAAAATATATGAATTGTGACCTATCCCATTTTCTCAGCAGTCACAACCTCTCAAAACATGGCGTCTTTGGGAAAGTAAAGCAAAGGAGCCATGGTCGAAAGGCTATTTTTTTTTGGTGGAGGGGCTTGATTCTCCCACAAAGGCTGTGATTTTGTGTATGGTCAGACCATGCTAGAGAAGAAATGGCCCAGGGAGAGACAACATTGTCCAACAGCTTCCAGACAGCCGCAGGGACACACATTTGGAGTTCAAGATGGCCCTCTATTTTTAGAGCCTGGAGTCAAAATTCTTCCAGTAAACATCAACTCTCAGCAACTCTCAGGCCTGTGTGACACATCACTCTGATACAGCACCAGAAACAAGGGTGAGGGTACCAGTCAAGACCACTGAAGGTGGGTGGCATGGCTCACCCTCTCTGAAACCCTCATCCATCACTCCTAGACTTCTGGGCTAAGTAAGGCTGTGCAGGACCCTGCTCAATGTATGGATACAGACATGCATAGAGCAGCCTGGGCCATACAAACACAGCAGACTCATTTCCCAGCCAAAAGCGTGGGCACCATGGCATTCTGTTTCATCATTACGTAGAAAACCTTTGGGAACTTCCAACACTCATCCCTGCCATGCCCACCTTCCCTGAAAGGAAGAATGCAGTTCAAGAAGAACATTCCATAGACAAACTCTCATCCAAATCCTGCCCACTGTGGCAGTGACCTTTTTGGGCCTTTGTATGTGAAATGGCAATAACATCTCCTTCAATCTCATTCGTAGGAATTAAATGACAATAACATCTCCTTCAATCTCATTCGTAGGAATTAAATGACAGCGTCTGGGGACATCTATGGACAGGTACACCTGCTAGGCATTTTCTTCTGCCCCCATATTTAGAATGCTTACAGCAGACTAGACAAGTTCAAGTCATTTTGTGCTGATTAAGGAAACAATCAGAGCCTCAGAGTCCTGTCCCCAGAAGTGTTTCTTTTTTTATTCGCTAAATTTCTAGCAAAAAGGGTACTAGAAGTGAGGGAGAAACGTCCAGTCAACTGCAGATTATCGGGACTGCTCAAGAACTCCTGCAGGCAGCCCCACTTCTTCCCACCTGCTGGAAAGGAGCCCCATTCCTTCAAGGTGACAAAGGTGAGTTGGGAGAGAGCCAGGGTGAACATGGATCTCCTGGTCCTCACTCCTCTTTAAGATGCATGAGTCACATTCTAGAGAGTTGTTTGTGTTTGTCCTTCAGGAGTCCCGGGGGCACCCTGGCTGCAACTTTGCTTGGCTTAGTAAGCAGGAAGGAGAGGCTGAGCAGCTTCAGACTTGGAGTCCCAGGGAGCAGATGAGTTAACAGGGCAGAAAGTTGGTCCTGTGTTTTCTGGACACCTTCATGTGGCTGGCAGCTGCTTGTTGCACTGCAAGTTCTGTCTGGATGTAATTGATGGAGTGGGGAGAGGTCCCCTCCTCCCTTCCCTAGGCTCAGGTCCAGAGGGCCCCCAGGACTCCTTCTATAGCTGCTCAGTTATGACACCCTGGACCCTTCTTGGTCAAGGGGCGTGGCATCAGCAGAAACACAGGGATATCCATGACAGGGACTCAAAGCATCAAAGCACAGACCCGCTTTACTTCTTGCTCTTTCCATGCTGCTACTTAGAATTTACGTATTTCCCTGTGCCCCACATTACAGGTCCTTTGGGAGACAGCTGGAGATGGTAGACAGACAGGGTCAGACAGGTTCAAGTAGGATTTCCAGCCAGAGACCTTAAGCTGGACACCTCTCCTGTCTGGATCTCGATTTCTGCACATGTAGAAGGGGGCAGGGGAGGGACGGGATCCGGGACAGATGACGAGAAAGCCCATTTCCAAAGCGCTATGAGAATTCATTAAGACGATGATGGTTGTCCTGTCCACTACACAGAAGGGGTTGGGGGAAAGCTAGCTCCTTCCCCTTACCCTCATTTGCCTGCATCTGAGGGTGAAGCAGTAGGGACGCCATCACCAGCAGCTGCCCACTTCCTTGTTTTGGGGGAAAGGAGACAGCCTGGCACCCTCTTCTAATGTCACTCCAGGCTGCTGTCGTGTCCAGGGATCACATGTGCATTCAGGGCCACAGGCTGGGACTTGCTCTTCTTGGACCACTTCAGATGTTCCAGGCTGGGATGGTGAGAGGCAGATGGGAGCAGCCAGGCCCCTCCGGGGGCTCATCCTTGTGGGCCACGCGCCCATTCCGCAGGGGGAGGCGACCCGGCCTGGGAGCTCCGCTGCTGGGCCCGGACTCAGATGGCAGGCCGGAGTCGCTGGGCTGCACGTCCACCAGGACCCGCCTGCGCAGGAGCCTGCCGGGCCGCTCAGAGTAGGCCTGCTTGTGGCCGCCCCACTGCGGCGGGCAGAGCTGGGCGCGGAAGGCTGCCTGGAAGCCGCGGCGGAAGTTCTCGTTGAAGTAGCCATAGATGATGGGATTGGCGCTGCTGTTGAAGAAGGCCAGCCAGTGCGCGAAGGGGAAGGCGTAGACGGTCACCAGGTGCAGCTGCGGCTCGCTGAGCTGCCCGTAGTCGATCATCAGCAGCAGCGCCCAGAGGGGCAGCCAGGACAGCGTGAAGAACAGCGCCACCATGACCAGCATGTGCACCACCCGCACCTTGCGCCGCGCCGCGCGCCCGCCCTCCGCCACCGCCTCGTCGCCGTCGCGCGCGGGGCCCGCGGCCTTGCAGAGCTTGCGCGCGATGCGGGCGTACATGACCACCATGAGCGCGAGCGGCGCCAGGTAGATGTGCGTGAAGAGCACCGCGGTGTAGACCTTGCGCATGCCCTGCTCCGGCCAGGCCTCCCAGCACGAGTAGAGTGGGTAGGAGCGGTTGCGGGCGTCCACTAGGAAGTGGTGCTCCTCGCGTGTGACGGTCAGCGTGACAGCCGATGGACACAGGATGAGCAGCGCCAGGGCCCAGATGACCGCGATGGTGAGCAGCGCCTTCCGCAAGGTCAACTTCTCGCGGAAAGGGTGCACGATGCAGCGGAACCTGCAGCCGGGGTTGGAGGGAGAAGTAAGGGTTTGGTGGGGGGCCCCGGGGTCCAGGGAGGAGTACAGCTGACCTTGTTAAGGGCTGGTGTGATGGGGACACCTGACATTCATCACCTCACTACGGGGGTAGCGTCAGAACATGGCTCAGACACTAATTAGGGAGTGTGCAAGTGAATTGGTTTCTCACCTGCCACCTGCCAGGGAGGCGGCTCTCCGCCCACCCCCCCCAAATCGTTCAGGAACCAAGACAACACCAGGACTTTCAGAGAGAGAGGAGTAGGGAAGCGCAGCCTGGGAACAGTGACTTTTGTCTGTGCACTTCTGGGGTAAACTGGTTAGGGGCAGTGGGCAGAGCAGTCAGTCTGCCATCTGCATTGTGGCTTTGAGAAAGTTGATCAGGTGTATGAGCAAATACGATTTTTACCTGCTCCCCAGAAAACCTCTGGGAGCTGGAAGGTCAGATGTGGAGCTCCACCCTGTGTCATCTCAGCCAGCATCCTTCCATGGGTACCTCTACCATCTGAGGACAAGTCTGCACTATTTATTTCCTCCTGAGGACCTCTCAGCAGCAACTGTGATTACACCCTTGTTCTACAGAGGAGGAAACCAGCTCAGGGGTGTCAAGCAGCTGGCTCAAGATCACACAGCCAGCAAGAAGTGTGACAGGTACTCAGCAGGAGCAAAGCTTGGCATCCCTGTCTCCATTTTGTATCTGTGTTTGCTCTGAACTGCTCTCTCCGGCAGTCACCTTGCAGCCACCTTGGATTCCAGGAAACCAGGCCTGATCAACAGCATCTTTATGACAAGGGAACAAAACTACACCCAAGGAAAGGAACAGTAGAGTCTCTCAGGACACACTGCCCCCTAAATGAGGACAATTACCTCTAATGTTGAGGCTGCACTCTGAAACAGGGGTAATCATCTCATGGGAACCAGATCGCTACCTTCAAGTGATGACAGCGATGATAACTTCTCTGGAACCCTCAAAGAACCAGAACTGAGATAACGATCAACCAGGCCCACTTTGCCTGGGACTGCTTAATTATACATGCCTCCTATCCCCTGCCCAATTTCTTCCTCTATTTAAACCAGAAGCTGGTATCTGTATCCCAAAGATGGGCTGAAGTGCTTACTTCCCAGTTCCCACGGCATGCCTATACCATGTAATAAGTCTTTCTCTGCCCTTCACCACTTCTCAGCTCTTTATTTGGGGTATTGGGTTGAGTGGCTGGACCTGACATGTTAGAACCCCTGGGACTGAGCCCCTATCCTATCTGATTACAGTGGCCTTTGAACCCAGATTTTTCTGGCTCCTTGTGCCATATAAACCATGCAAACCGTGATGTGCTTCCTGTACATGAAAAAGCAGTAACACAAGCTGCCTCATGCTTCAGGCCACAGAGTCCGGTGCAGTTATTTTGGGGAGGGGCTGTAGCACCGCTTTTGGTTTTGGTTTTAAAACCTCCTGGGGTGATTGTCATGCAGCCAGGGCTGGCAACTGTTGTGGAGGTGGAGGAGGTGGAAACCTGGCCCCTGAAGTGAGGCTCAATGGCTCTTGAAGGGAGGGACTGTGCCTTTTCATCCAGTGGTTCCAGAGCGTGTTTAGATAACTGCAGGAATGAATGATCCGTACTCAAAATCCTCCTAGGCCTCAGTTTCCTTATCTGCAAAATGCAGCAAATAATAGGACTTTTCTGTGAATTGTTGTAAAGATGAAGTTGGCTTGCCATACTTCTGGAGACATGTTGAATGCTTAATAGTGAGAAGAAGGGACTTCTACTTCCCAGAATGTCTCCCTCATCTACTGATGCCAGAAAACAGACACCAGAGGATGGTCTAGTCAACCTCGTGTTTAGTGGAGGGGGAACCTGGCCCAAGGTCACATGGCTCCTTAGGGAACAGAACCTTTGCTACAAAGGTTCTGGTGCTGACTGCCAGCCCAGAGCCCTTTCTGCTTCACTAACCTGATTCCTGCCCTTCTGCCCACCCTCAGCCTGACTCAAACCTGGCTGCCTCAGCCTTTATGACCTTGACCTTCTGGTTTCACAGCATCACACACTCAAGAAATCCCCAGAGAACAAACAACTCCTAAAGCATGTAGTACTAGCCAGGTGTGGTAGGACACCTTGTACTTGTAATCTCAGTAATCAGGAGGTTAAAGTGGAGGCTGAGAGTTCAAGGCTAGCCTGGTCAACACAGTGAGATTGTCTCAAAAACAAACAAAACCTGTAGAACTTGCTATAAGTTCAATAGTAATTGGCAGGTAGAGGAGAATCCTGGGGTAGTCTAGGAAGGAGTTGATGGAGCTTGAAGAATCCTGCAGATACCACCCTCTCATGTCACTCAACAGTGGTAACAAAACGAAGGCTAGGGAGTGGAGGGACTCCCCACACCGCCAGCTAGCTCGTGATTTTGGGTCAAGAGGAGCTCAGCTCCATCATGTTAGCTGCCTACCGCACTGGTTACAAAACACTGAGTTTGATGGGGGCAGAAGTGGAGAGAAGATGAAAACACTAGCTTCTAGAAAGGGTGGGGCTGAGAAGTGCTTGAGTTGGAGAGAGGACAAGAAGGAGGACCAGGGTGTAGGGAAAAAATAAAATAATGCTAGTAGCTAGCATTTGGATTGGCCCAGGAACTGTGGGAAGCTTTACAGACAGAAGTTACCATTTTACAGATGAGACTACAGAGGCTCAGAGTAGCTAAGTGACTTACCAACAGCACAAATCTATGGTGATCAGGACAAAAACCACCTCCAGCTGAGCTGCCTGCCTCTTATTCCAGGGGAAGGCACAGTGGGGAAGGGGGAGTGTTTACCACACTGAAGATGCTGAGCGGGAGGAGGAATAACAAATACAGTGCAATAAGGAGGACTTCCAGCTCCACTGTGGCCCCAAACCCCCTACCCAGGCGCCATCCCTTACCTCTGGCCACCCAAACAGAACCATGCTTAGCCAATAATCTGCTGGAATCTGAAGTTGAATGACCAGATGTGGGTCTCAGTAAGGCCTGGACTCCCAAGAAGACTTGAGGTAGAGTGAAGGCCCAGGGAGAGACCCTTCCTTGCCAGCCACACTGAGCCCACCCCACGAGTGGGCTTTGCAGCTCTGGCTCCCAGGGCTCAGGTGAGATGTCCTTGGGATGTGAACTCAGAAGAGGAATTGCTGGTCAGAGGGTTGGCCTGTACAAATACAGAGTTTTCCAAAGTAGAACCAGCCTGCTGTCATGGCAGTGTTGGCTTTCATGACATTTAAACTCCTCTGCACCCAGACCTGACTCTTCCCACTAATCCACAGTTATTTAGGGTCAAAGAAACTGTAAATTAATCTCCTGTTCAATTTTCCCATCTGTATAAAAAGGATGATAACCCAGGTGTGGTTGTGCCTGCCTATAATCCCAGCACTCTGGAGTTGGAGGCAGGGGGATTAAGAATTCAAGGCTAATCTGAGATATGGGGGGGGTGGCCAGACACTTGGTCCCCTGATCATTCATTTCTGAAGTTATCTAAACACGCTCTGGAACCACTGGATGAAAAGGCACAGTCCCTGCCTTCAAGAGCCCTTGAGCCTCGCTTCAGGGCCCAGGTCTCCACCTCCTCCACCTCCACAACAGTTGCCAGCCCTGGCGCACGACAATCACCCCAGGCCTATAAGGATCTTCACTGCAATGCTTTTTGTCATGATGGAGAGTTGGAGGCAATGGGAGGCAGGGTTTCCTGCCACTCAGGATGACTGCTGTCCTCCCAGGCCCCAGAAGGCCTTTCCATGCCCCCAACCCCAGGCCTTCCAGAAGGGGGTGGTGCTGTCCTCAGCACCAACTCTAGAGGGCAGTGGGCCCCACAGGCCCTAGCCTTCCAGTTAGCCCAGGATGGAGGCATGGGCTGCCTGAGTGCCGGCCCCAGAGCCCAAGGAATCCTCTTACCTTTCCACAGCGATGGCCACCAGTGTGAACACAGAAGCAGACACAGACATGCCCTGCACCAAGCCGCTCATCTTGCACGTGGCATTGTCAAAGGGCCACCCTGCAATGACAGAGGCCCCTCAGGGTAAAAGATGGCCACCTGCCAAGAGTCGAGACTCCTGACCACGCAAACCCTATGTAGCTTGGCTCTTTCTTCTTTGGCCTGCTAGTGGTCATGCGGCCTCTGCTGCACACATTCAGGGCTGAGAAACCAAAGCTATTAGAGGGGTGACTGACTATTAGAGGAGTTGGCTTTTATGTTGACCAGTGCTCCATAAGCTTTAAATCTATCCAGCCCCACCTGGCTTTCTACTCCCAGAGTCCTGCCCAGGTTCCAGGCCACATTCATTCTCACAATAAGCCTACTATTATCACCAGCCCTGCTTTATTTTGGCAGTAGTGAGTTTTAGGTTTTTTTTGTTCGTTTTGTTTTTGGTGGAACTGGGGTTTGAACTTGGAAGTAGCAGGGTTTGACCTCATGCTTGCTAAGCTGGTTCTCTACCCCCTAAGCCATGGCTACAGACCATTTTTGCTTTAGTTATTTTTCCAATCATCTTGTGCTTCTTGCTGAGGGGTAGAGGAGGGGATCTTAGGCCTTGATAAGTAGGAGGCTACTTTTGGCTCCTGCATAGCTGGACTTATAAGTGCATATCACCATGATTGGCTTACTTGTTGAGGTGATGTCTTGCTAACTTTTTGCCCCAGCTGGCCTTGGACTGTGTTCCTCCTAATCTCCACCTCCAGAGTATCTGGAATTATAGTCATAAACCACCATGTCCACCTTCCCTGCCAACCTCCCCCCATATCTCAGATTAGCCTTGAACTCTTAATTCCCCTGCCTCCAACTCCAGAGTGCTGGGATTACTGGCAAGCACAACCACACCTGGATTATCATCCTTTTTATACAGGATGATTGAACAGGAGATTAATTTACAGTTTCTTTGGTCCTAAATAACTATGGGTTAGTGGGAAGAGTCAGGTCTGGGTGCAGAGGAGTTTAAATGTCATGAATGTCATGAAAGGAGTTTAAATGTCATGAAAGCCAACACTACCATGACAGCAGGCTGGTTCTACTTTGGAAAACTCTGTATTTGTACAGGCCAACCCTCTGACCAGCAATTCCTCTTCTGAGTTCACATCCCAAGGACACCCTACCGTGGCCTAGAAGGATCTTCACTGCAATGTTATTTGTCATGATGGAGAGTTGAAGGCAGTGGCATTTAGTTACCTGAAAAATAATTAAAGCAAAAAAGGGCTGGGGGCCTAGCAAGAGTGAAGCCCTGAGTTCAAACCCCAGGACCACCAAAATAAAGGGGGAGGGGATGATAATAGAGTTGTTGTGATGATGACATGGCCTGGAACCTTCACAGGACTGAAGGATAGATTTAAAGCTCACAGAGAGCTGTTCATTGCTAAAGTGACATCACCGAGCACAGACACTGGAAGGACATTGGCTCTAATGAGTCCATGTAAGCTGGCTCTAGCTTGCCACATGGTAGAGGCCCCTCCCCCTGCTGTCTATCCCTGGGAAGCTGGAGGGTCAAATGTGGTAAGGGCATGCCATGGGCCACCAGGTGTCGGAATGGCAGCTCAGATGTACATGTGGCAACATGGAGAGAAGGCCTAGAGAAAAAGGCAAGAAATAGATTGAGATCAACAAGAAACCACTCATCCAAACTAGCAATGTATCCACAAGAATAACCAGGAAAATCTGGATGCAGAAGAAATACCTCCAGCAACACAAGATACGTAAGTGTGAGGTATTAGTTGTTTTTTGGTGGTACTGACGATTGAACTCAGGGCCTCAGTCTACCACTTGAGCCATGATCCAGTCCTTTTGTTTTTAGTATGTGCAGTGATCCTCCTACCTCTGCCTCCCAAGTAGCTGGGACCACAAGCATATACCACCATACCTGCTTTGTTTTTGAGATAGGACCTCACCAGCTTTTGCCCAGGCTCGCCTTGAACTGGGTCCTCTTATTTCTACCACTTGGGATTGCAGGTACGTACCACCACACCTGACTGTAGCATTATTTGGAATTACAAAATCAGAAACAACCTAAATGCTCATATCAAGAAGTGGTTGAAAAGCCAAGCACTGGTGGCTCACGCCTGCAATTCTAGTTACTCCAGAGGCAGAGATCAGCAGGATCACTGTTCAAAGCCAACCTGGGCAAATAGTTTGTGAGAATCTATCTCAAAAATACCCAGCACAAAACAGAGCTGACAAAGAGGCTCAAGTGGTAGAGCACCTGCCTAATAGACCTGAGGTCCTGAGTTCAAACCCCAGTACCACCCCTGAAAAAAGGAAGTGGTTGAATAAACTATGGTACATCCACAAAATGGAGTATTACATATCTGTGAAAAAGACTGAGGAAGACCTCTATGAACTGATGTGGAATGATTTCCAAGATCTATTGCTAAGTGTAAAAAGTAAAGAGCAAGGCCAGATGCAGTGGTACACACCTGTAGTTCCAGTTACTCAGGAGGCTAAGGCAGTAGAAGTGCCTAAGCCCAGGAATTTGAAGCAAGCCTTGGCAACATGGCAAGATCAGGTATCCTAAATAAAACAAATAACAGCAGCAACAACAAAAAAAGCCAAGCAAGTGTGAAGAGTATCTATAATGTGTTACCCTTTGTGTAAGAAAGAGGGACTTTATGAAAACATGAACGTATCTTCTCATGTGTACAAAGGAAATACAGGAAAGATGCATCAGAAAAAAAATGAGACCAGCTACCAATACAAGGAAGGGGTGAGGATGGGGCAGGAAGGGCGGAGGGGCAGGGTAGCTGAGATGGCGGGAGATGCTTTGCCAAATACATCTCTTTGTATGACTCTGGCTATTTAAACCCTGATGATGCTTCACTTACTCAAAAAATAATTAAAGGCTACCAGGGGCCGGGGATATGTCTCAGTGGTACAGCACTTGCCTAGCATGTGCAAGGCCCTGGGTTTGATCCCAAGCACTACAAAAAATAAGTAAAAGAAAATAAAATCTATCAGGATGTTGGGCAACCCAAAGTAGAATACAAGCAATAACAGATAAACCTAATTGAATTATAAGTGAATAATTAACCACATTGAAGGGGGTGAGAAGAAAACTGCTAACCTAAGTAACTTTGGAAATCAGCATTTTGCTGTTTACTAAAGAACTGCACACAAATTCCATAACCTCAATAAGTGTGACATATTCCTGACAAAAATGCATAAACTGGGTCTAGTTATGGGGAAAAAGTGAAACCCAAATCACAGAAACTAATTTATGTGGATGACAAGATTGAGCAAGCTGGAAAATACACCGTGGATGAATGGGACTTGACTTCTTACTGAAGAAGAAGCTACAATAAGGAAGGGGGACATTCAGATGACTCTTGTGGTGCAGGAGTGAATCAGCAGTGTAAGTATGAATTATGGTTTTTTAAATTCAGATGGCTGGGTATAGAAATAAAAAAGACGTGTGCCAAATATGTGTTTGTGTACATCTGCCTCCTATCTCTGCCCCTTGAGAACACCTAGAAGCAATAACACTCCAGTAGCATGAGCACACCCAGAACCTAGATCTTGGTTTCTAAATGTTATTCTTCAATAAAAGGAAACAGGGCTCCCTAGAAAAACAGGCTGAGGCAGGGAAAATACAAGATGATTCAGAACATGTGTGGTGCCAGCAAGTAAGAAAATACTCAAAAAAATGATGCTGCCATGTTGGAAGGACATGGAGGCCAACTAGAAAGAGCTTCCAATAATTGAAGCTGATGCAGTCAAGCAACAAAATAAAGAATGGCAGTATTGGATTACAACCCAACGAGTCGGATTCCAATGAACACACGTAGAAGGACTGATGTAAGAAGATCGTTCGTGAGGAAGCATGACAGAAATAATTGTGGCAGGCAGGAATCATCCATGCAGGCTAGTCAGTAGGCAAAATGAGAAATAGGATATTTGTGTAATCCCAAAGAATCTCTCTAGAAGACACTTACTAACTGTAAGGGGAAACAGTTGCTGTACAGTTTGGGGACACCATTTAACTAAGTAATAACGGCCATCTCCCTTCTTGGCACACTTTCTGTGGTATTCTTATTCCAAACCCATAAACTGAATCTAATTAGGGGAAAACATCAGGCAAACCCAAATTGCACAACGTGAGACAAAATTATCGATCTGTACTCGTGGGTAAAAAAATACAAGGGAAGTAGGAAGTTGAGTTCTAGAGAAGAGATAAGTGCCTTGTCAATTGTCACAGGCACTGTCAGGGAGGAAGGACACCTAGAAATGTGGAAGATAATTATTTTGGATGTGTTTGTAAGGGTGCTTCTAGAAGAGATTGAAGTGAGTCTGAGTGGAATAGGTTGGGAAGATCAACCAAGCAGAAAGTGAACGTGACGGTGTCCTCAGAGAAGAACCATGTCCTTGAAGAAAACAAGCAGCTACTTATTTCAGTGCAAGACTTCAAAATACAGCTAATGATTGTGAAAGCAGGCCAGCCCTTAAGGGCCTGCCTCTGTTTAATTGCCCGTAATTCATCCCTGCAATATATCTTTCCATCTGTTGAATTTTTTTTAATTTCCTTTTCATTTGGTTTTTTTCCCCCACTCTTTTACATTGTTGGAATTATTATTATTTTATTATTTTTCACTATGCTATGTATTTCATCTTCATATCATTTCCAATACTGGAGGTATTGGAAAAACTAAAATTATCTAAAGACTTTTAGAGATTTCTGATTTGCCATATACATTTTTTTTTCAAATTTGATTCTGCAAAAGTGTATCATCACCACCAAAGGACCACCAAAAAAAAAAATAGTTGTGTGAAAAGGATGGCAGACTTCACTACATCACTGCTGGCTTGTGTGTGTGCTTATGTGCATGTAGATGTGTGCAGGTCTGCATGCATACGTGAGTGCCTGCGTGTGCAGGTGCTGGAAGGAGAAGCATGCATGCTTTGTATCCCACATCCCTGAAGAGATCTAGGGCTCATCACTGTGTAAAGACTCCACCAGGACTGCCGAAGCAAGCTGACTCTGCCCTGGCTCTACTTCCGGCGTACCAGAACTTGCAGAAACGTGGACTGTGGCTGACCCAAGTCAGGGAAGTCATTCCAACTTGGGGATCTGGATCCTGAGGTTTTAGGAGCTGCTCTGCGCTCCCAGTCTGCAGGCTCTGACCTCTAGGGGTCTCCGCAGCTCTGGAAACCAGTCTCTCTCCCCCTGGAGTCCATGGAAAAAAGTCTGATCACAAGAGAGAGCTGCAGGAATTTAGAAGGCAGATGATCTAGCTCTGCTTAAATACCTTCTACCAAATCCCTGCTTAGGGGCCAGCTGGTCCCCACTTGGACACCCCCAGTAACCAGGATCTTATGCCTTGCAGAACAGGACTGTTTTCTGTGGGAGAACAACTCACAGGAGTGAAGTTCTTGGTCCTTATCTGCCTCCCTATCTTCCCACTGCTTCTAGTTCTGCCCATGGAGTTCCATGAGGCACTGAGACCAAAGGGCATATAATTGGATGTGGGGTGTGAGAACGTGGGTCTTGACACCTTTTTCCTGTGTAACTACAGTCTAGGCCCTTAACTGCTCTGAGCATGTCTCTCACCTGTCCAATGAGGATAATAAGACATGCTTCCTTGGACTGCTGTGGTAATTAAGATAAGGCATGCATGACACAAAGAAAATAGAATCATGGCACCTATTCTCTCTAATCTAATCCCTCAGAATTTGAGACAATGGCTTCTTGGCCAAGAGGTCAGCTTCTGTCTCAGGCTTTAGTGAAAGAGTGGAAACGGGGGTGGGGCGCTCCTGTCACTTCTCATCCACACTCACCAGTGATGAGGTTGTCCACAAGGGTGGTGGGCATGCAGAAGATGCCCACCAGCAGGTCGCTGACAGCCAGGTTGAGGATGAACATGTTGGTGACAGTGCGCATGTGCCGGTTCCTGAGCACAGTGAAGCAGACCAGTGTGTTGCCCACCATGCACAGCAGGAAGATGACCCCATAGGCCACAATGAACATGGCTGCCACGGGTGAGGAGTGCTGGTAGTAGGAAGAGAAGGTGAGGTTCACAGCCAGGGTGGCCTCAGCATTACTCCCATTCTGATTTAAGAGCCAGCTGCCATTGGGAGGCTGGGAGGGCTCTCCTAGGACCAAGAAGCATATGAGTCAGGACCTACGCTAGGAAGAGATGACGTCCTTTGGTGTCCTACACCCTGAGCCCACCCCAGGACCCTGAGCAACTGTATGCATTGATCCACAACTCACCACCACTCAAACCCTGGTCTCATGTCCAGCTTGCCCAAGATTCACCCCTCAAAATCGTGGTTATTCTCCATCAACACCTCCCAGTCTCATTCAGGCTCCATCCTGCTAGGCCTTGCTCTGGGCCTCAGAGGACTCTAATTTCTAAGGATTACATGACACGTGCTTCTGTGTCCTCTGGCTTCTGGCTGAGATCAACCAATGGGAGACTCTGAAGGAGACGGAAGGGTAGGAGAAGAGAGAGGCCAAGGTATTTGTCCCCTGACTCTACCTAGTCCAATTCTGCCAGCAGCTATTTTTCTACGGGCTCAGCGCAATCCTCCTGGGTGACTCCTTATGAATGTACCCTCCAATGTTCATGTGCTGGAATATAAATCCCCCAAATTAGGATTAGATGAAGTCGTCATAAGGGTGGGGCCCCTGTGAAGGCATTAGCTGCCTTATAAGCAGAGGAAGAGAGCCCTGAGCTAGCACACTTGCTCTACCCCACTGTGTGATGCTCACACCATGTTATGATGCAGCAAGAAGGTCCTCACCAGATGCTGGAGCCAAGTTTTTGGACTTCCCAGTCTCCAGAACTGTGAGCTAAATAAACCTCTCTTCTTTATAAATAACTCAGTATTGGATATTTTGTTATAATAACAGAAAATGGATCAAGACAGTCCTCTTCCATGGCTCTCGCTCTTCCAGGCTGCAGTAACACTGTTCCTTGTCTTTGCACCAACAGGCTTGAAACCCTGTGCTTGCTAGTCCCTGTGGTGTGCAACAGAGGTTGGTCCTGTTCTGTGTGCTTCTGACTCAAGACAAGGCTTGAGTGTGTGTTTCCCAAGCTGTGTTTCGAAAGGAGTGGCTAAGTGTCCAACCACATCTCTTCTGGGAAGTCATTAGCTGTGGTGACTCACGATGTTGTCTCACAAACTCTCCTGCCTTCCTCCGGGACTGAATGTGGCCCATTCCAGGGGATGGGAGTCTCTCTAGAGTCTTTTTCTGTTGCACCCAGAGCATAGCCAATGGCTGGGAGTCCCAGTGGAGGCTTGGGACCTGGGGGCTGGAGACACTCGGGGGAGGAGGGCCAATAAGCCAGCACAATCAGGGCTGCAGGGACCGACGGGGCTCAGAGGGTACTTCAGAGGCTGGGGGCGGAGGGCCTGCTGGTGGGAGTGGAGAAGCTGGAAGTTCTGGTGCATGGTGAGGGGAAATGACACTCTCCCGCTTAGGCCTTTTAAGGGCTTTCACTGCCTTCAAACTTCTTTATTATAATATAGGAAATATCAAACATGTAGGAGAGACGATTGTACTGAACACACACAGGAGCATAAAGTTCCAGAAGAATAGTATAAAGAACTCCCATGTACATATCACCTACCTTCAACAGACCAGCTCAAAGCCAATCTTGTTTCATCCATACCCCAGCTCTTTTGGGGTCATTTTCTTTTCATTTATAAATATTTCAGTTTGTATCTCTAAAAAAATGAAGACTCTAATTCTTTTTTTAAAAGCCATGGTCATTATCAGACCTAAGAAAATTAAAAACTATAATATTAGCAAACATCCAACATCCTGCATTCAAAATTTCCCGATCTAAGCCTGGCATGGCTTAGTGTTGCAAATTAGTAATCTCAGCAATCCTTAGGCTGAGGTAGGATCAGGATCATGAGTTCAAGGCCAGCCTGGCTACGTAGCAAGACCCTGTCTCAAAAACAAAGAGAGAGAAACGGAGAGAGAGATTGAGAGAGAGAGAGAGAGAGTTTGCTATATAATAAGACCTCAGAGTTCTTCTGGTCTCTAGGAAGCAAAATTCTCTGATTGTTCCATAATTTTTTCTTCAGTGCTGGGGATTCAGCAGTAGCCCATTTTGCTCTGGTAGTTTTGAGATAGGGTCTCATGTTTATGCCTGGGTGGCCTGAACCTCTATCCTCCTTTTTATGCTTCTCCATATGGAATGACAGGCACACAGCACCATGCTCAAACAAGACTACAAGACTTCTATTACTATGTGACAGACCACCCCAACACTTAGTGGTATGGCACCATGGCCATACCATGGCATGTGAGTGCCTTATCTGCAAGTCTCTGTTGGGATCCTTCATGCAGTTGCAGTCGTCTGGTGGCTTGGTTGGGGATGGGAGGTCAAATTGACCTTCCTCCTGTGGCTGGTGGTTAGTGATGGTTTTTGTCTGGGGTGGTTCATTTCTTCACATGGCCTTTTGTCTTCCAGGAGGCTGGAATGGACTTCTTCAGAGCATGGTGCTCACCAGGTTCCAAGAAAGCAAAGCAAGAAGCTAATAGGTTGGAATTTTCACATGATGTTCTATTGACCAAAGCAAGTCTCAAGGGAAGCCCAGATTTAAGCCTGTGGAGAACTTGTTTCCACCTCTTGATAAGAAATAGGAAGAATGGCAATGTTATTTTGCAAAAGGAGTGTGGCCTTGGAAGAGTGGCACATTAAGGTCCATTTTTATAAAATGTACCACCACCCCTGTATTGCATTTGGTGGGCTCCTCAGCCAATCTCTCTCTCTCTCTCTCTCTCTCTCTCTCTCTCTCTCTCTCTCTTCAGCCCTTTTTGCTTTTGTGATTTTTAAGATATGGCCTCACTTTATGCACGGGTCAGTCTGGACCACAATCCTCCTATTTGTGCTGCCCTGAGTAGCTGGGATGACAGGCACACACCACCACACTATTGATTGAGATGAGGTTTCTCAAATTTTTGGCCTGGGTTGGCCTTGAACCATGATCCTCCCAATCTCTGCCTCCCAAATTGTGGGATTACAGACGTGAGCCACTGCACCCACCTTCTGAGTCTCTTTTAGTTTACAGGTTCCTCCTCTGTCTCTTTTCCCCTCTGTAATTTATTTATCATAAAGACTGCATCATTTGTCTACAGAGTTTCCCACAGACTCAATTTTGCGGATTGCGCCCTTGTGATGTCATTTACTTGCTCTGCTCTGTGCCTTATATTTCCCATAATCAGCAGCTGGATGGAAAGGCTTGGTCAGATTGAGTCTGCTGGCCTCTAAGTCATGCTAAGCTTGATGGGTGGCCTCAGGTGGTGTCAGTTTGATCCTCCATCAGCAGCTTCCCTATCAACTTTTTACTGAATGTATTCAGCAATCACTAATGAGCACTGCATTTTACATACAATCTGCACTGTTTACCATGGCCTCCAACACACCGTGTGGGCTGACCCTTGCTGACATGTCCTGGCTTCATGCAGTGCCTTCTCCCCTTTGCCCATATGCTCTGGCCACTTGGACATCCTCTTGGCCCCTACACATTCTTGCTTTTCCAACCCCAGGGCCTTTGCTCTTCCCCTCCTTTGGCTTTCAACTTAAATGTTGTATTCCCAGAGAAGCCCAACCTGATTACTCTATTTAAGGTAGATACTCCACTATTATCTCTTGCAGTGTCCCACTGATGCTGAAGCTTCGTCTAGATCCCTAGACAGCAGGGATCTCTCCTGTCTTGGTGGCAGTGTCTCTGGCATCTTGTCAGTGCCTGGCCATAGTAAGTGGTTCAGTAAGCAATCAATAACAATGGAATGAATAAAGATTCATGGGAAGCAGAAAAGGAAGGAAGGGTGGATCCTGACACCAGGCTACAGGATTGTGCTCAAAAAAGGCAGTGCTATGTTCTCCAGGTCCCCCAAGAAAGAGCACCCAGGACAGCCATCAGCTATCATAAAGCCTGTTGGGAAACTCTCCCAGGCAGTGCAGCCTGCTGAACCTTAAAATCAACCCTGAGTCAGTTCCCATGACCGCGGGAAGTTGTGGGTAAAGGAAATTGCCGGAATCTTTCAGACTGCATTCTAGCCTGTCTGCTTCTCCTACTCACTTCTCTTGACCCTCAAGTGAGCTCACTCACCAAAATCTGTCCCGGGGAAGTGTCTGGGAGAATCCTGCTCATCTCTAGTATCCTAGTTGAACCTGGGCAGCTGTCCCTAGACCTAGCTCAGCTTCCTGCAATGCACACCATCCTCACTTTCTTTATTATTTTTTTTAATTTTTGAGACATGGTCTTGCCATGTAGTCCAGGCTGGCTTCAAACATATTAAATAGCCCAGGATGACCTTGAACTCTCCATCCTTCTGACTCCACCATCTCCCAAGTGCTGAGATTACAGACATGCACCATTAAACCTGGCACACACTGGGCCTTTCTCTAGGAGGAACAACTCCTTCATATTCTTGGCAGTTCCCCTGGAGTGGAGGCCTGCCCACCTCCATATCACTTGAGCCCCATGCCAGCAACCAGAGGCCTCATTGACACCCTGGACTCGATCTTTCTGGGATCTGCCAGGTGCCTTATGAGTGATCCTGTGAAATTTTCATCCGCTGAGCCCGATTAAGTCATTCCCTTACTGGAGTAGCTTCCTGGAGGTCTCAGGATGCAGTGACAGTTGTCTCCAGGTTCTCTGAGGACCTCAGAGACCATGCTCTGAGTCACTGAAAGCCAGAGCTGGAGGGGAGCTAATTACAGTGATTCCCAAGGTGTGATTCCCCAGCCAGCAACTGGAACCTGTTAGAAATTCTCAGACCTCAGCCCTGACCTAGGGATTTACTAGGGAAATTGGGCCATGTCATCATGGAGGTGGAGATGTCCTGCACTAGGCTATCTGTAGCTAGAGACCTTGGGATGCTGGCTGAAAGCCTCAGAAGCCAGGAACTTAACAGTGGAACTCTCGGCATAAAACCAAACACCTGAAATCTGGGGGACCAATTGTATTAGTCCTAGAATCCCAAAGCCTGGGAGTCTGTAGTGCTGATGTCCCGGATCAAGAGGAGAAGGGTATCCTAGTTCCTGAGAAGAGACAGAGGACATTTTTTTTCCTTCATTTTTGTTCTCTCAGGAATTCCAGCTGATTGGATGGTGTCTGTTCATACTGAGGGTGGATAGTCCTCAATTAGTCCACTCAAACTCACAAGCAGTCTCTTCTGGAAATGTCTTCTCACACCCCTCCAAATAGTGCTTTACCAGTCCTCTAGGTAGTCCTCAATCCAGCCGAATTGAAACGTCAATTAACGATTGCATAACTCTTCTCTCATCCAACCTCTGATGTGCCAACCCCTTCCCCACTCAAGGACCTCACTCATTATTCTTCTGAGGACATAAAGTAGACGGGAAGAGGCCATCTTCTCTACACCATCAATCTGCTTGCCCTGCGGCTCACTCCTCTTCTCTGCCTGAGGTACAGTGAATGCACAGGTCAAGTGCCAATCATTCTCCAATGGGCTGCTTCGCAAATCCTCTGGTCTGACAGAGAATCTGTCTCTGCTAATATCCTCAATCTCCCTCCTGCACTGACAATTTTTTCCTTCCACAAAAGCACAGAAACAAGTTGTAAAAAAATCTCTTACCTTTCTTTTTAGCCTCCCTTTAGTTTCTAGTGTTCTCGGAAAAAATAGCTGTTTTTCCTTTCATAACTCCCATTCTTACTTTAGTCCATTCTACACTTGCTTTGTTCCCATCACACTGTTCCGAAGGACATCAGCAAACTCATAAGCTGAATTCAAAGAGTCATTGTGGACTTCCTTAACCACTCAGTGTTGTTCAGGTTCGTCACTTGTCTTCCAATGAGCTTTCTTACTTCTCTGACTATTGTGCTTCCAACTCCGAAAGAACATAGCAACACACCTGATTTATTATGGTTCTGAGAAAACCTGAGTGCTTCAAGGCTCTTTACTCAGATCTCATCTCAGTCACTCTCTAGATACACTTGTCCATTCCTCATCCAATCCCCCCAGCATACCCCACAGACACCAAACTCTGACGATGCCCAAGTCACTTCTGTAAATGGTGTGGTATTTGCAGAATCCTCCCATTTACTTTAACTCATCTCTAGATTACTTATAAATCCCAATGCAATGTAAATACCATGTAAAGAGTTGTTATACTTTATTGTTTAGAACAAATATAAGAAAAAAGTCTGCATATATTCAAGACAGATGCAGTTTTTTCAATTTTTCGTCTGTGATTAGATGAATCTATGAGTATGGAATCCATAGGTACAGTGGATCAACTGCACTCCAGATTTTCATCTGGATGCCTAACAGAACTAATGGGACTCAGGACATGATATCCCAAAATAGGCATATTGGCCCCCCAGGTCCAGCGATCTGTATTGGATTTTAAAGTATTGGCTGGGGATTTAGCTCATTCGTGGAGCACTTGTCTAGCATGTGCAAGGCCCTGGGTTATACCCTAGAACCATGATCCTCCATCTTTTAAAGCATCCTCCAGCTGATTCTGGTGCATCCTCCAGTTTGAGAACCACAGATCTGAAGCACTTGGATCAATGC